GAAGACAGTGAAGAAGAAAATCAAATTCGCAAAACCCGCGAAGATTCGCCTTCGGTGCGTGCTTTCTTGATCGAGCTTTTCAAATTTTGATATCACTAAAACATTCAAATGCTAAGAAAACTATCCAATTTATGGTTCGATTCCTCGTGAACTCCCGTTGTGTGGAACCTAATTCACATGTCATGTTTGGAAACTGTTTAGTAAATTATGGTTTGAACCTTCCAAATGTGCTTTGGGTATTTGATTTGGATTCATTTAGGCTCGATTGAGCCAAACTTGGTGTCATTGGGTTCGTATTTTTGAGACGTTCAGTTTAACTATAAGTTTGCTGAAATTAGAGTTGCAATGGTCTATGATTAAATTTTTGAAGTTTCCAACTTGATTTTGCTTTGTGATTCGTGCCAGATCAACATAATTTTTAGATGATTTGTCTACATGCAAGCCAAAAGGAATAGAAGAAAAAATAAGAAAGAAATTGTCCAACCCTCAATCAAAAATAAAATAGACTATTACAAAAATTGAAATACAAAAAAGAAACACTGCTGCTGATAACTCTACTCTAGAGGTGACGGTCCACCAAAGATGCATGTAAGACTTGCTGTAAAAGACAACAAGTGAATATATATGATTTTAAAATATGCTAAAAATAAGAAATATAAGATTCATTTAAATAGATAAATAAATATATTTTTAAAATCAAATTTAACTTTGAATAATAATTTAAATTAACTTACATTCTCTTGCGCTGTGGTTAAAATTAATTAAATAATTAACTTAATTAATTTAAATAAATAGTTTAAATTAACCTTGAATAATATTCATTCATGTGGAACTGATATTAATGAATTGAAATTGATGAATTCGAATTTCAACTTTCCTAATTTATATTTTTTGCCCGTTGCTGCCTTCCGCATTATCTATAAATAAGCCCTACTCTTATTAAACAAGCCATTAATTCTCAGGAAATGACAAACGTTAATTTCCTTCTCCGCTCCTCCCCTCTCTGCTTCCCGTTTCTCCCCTCCCGCCTCCCCCTCCGCTACTCGCTCTTATTTGTCCTCGATTGCGGGAGCTTAAGACTCCGCTCGTACGAGGTCGAATCGGTTCTCGGATACGGAAATGCTGTCGCCAGCTCACGAGTAATCGGGGCCTTCGTATACGATACGGAAAGGTACTCTCCTCCCTTGCGAGATCGGCCCTTGATGCGGAAGAAGGTACTCTCTTTCTCTCCTTCTTTCTCATGCTTGGAGTCTCTCTCTCTCTCTCTCTAGTGATGTTTCTATCTCTTGCTTGGAGTCTGTCGCTATTCACCCTCGCGGTTCTCATTTATTCTATACATCTACTGGTATCCGGGAGGGTTAGAAATTTTTAGCATTTGGGCAAGTCCTCTAACACGACAATACATCGCAGACTACTTCGACATATATGTACTCCCTGTTATTATAACATGAAACATTAAGAATTGAAATTATTAATCCTAATCTCAACTGAAGCCGGAAATGCTGCATCACGCTGGAACTGCTATGGGTTCACGCAAGGAACTGCTGCCTTAGTTTTAATGCGTTAGTCTATCATCGCCGCTGAAACTGCCTGGGCTAACTTGTGCCTTTTGTTTTGTGCTGATCATGAAACTATAAATAGATGTATTCATTAAACCGGTAGAGAATAAGATCGGAATTCTGTTTCAGCTTAATTCTGTAACCCGAGTGATTCAGCTTTGGCATTGTTTATGACTCACGTAGAAATTTTTTAATCGAATATTTTAGCTTTTATGATTGTAACATTTACATGTGG